TTATGATAGCGTTTCAATTGTTCCTCCAGTTTAAGTGAAATTTTCTATTATTTTGCTGGTTCTTCTGTGACTTCAGCTTTGAGTGACACATACAGTTCAGCGTTTTAGAAAGGGGATTTGCATTAGTTCCAATGTTAAGTTTGGCCTTTCAGCACTTTGAATGATTACGATTGTATGTAAGCCGCTGCTATAGGCTTACTGAAGTTTATCACATATGTGTATATCTGTAATACACTTGGACAGTACGTGCTATTTTCATTTTAATCTCCATTTTCTGTAATATAAACAAATATTTGGCCTTGTCTGAACAAAACTTTAAGTGGATATATTTTTAATTATGAATACCATGACATGAGTGTATAATATTTATGTTTACACTTTTTTGTGTTGCCATAGTGAGTAACAGGAATGCTATGGCTCAAGTAATAAAAGTAAAAATAATAAGGAATGGATAAAGAAATTCTTCATAACATTTCTACTGGATAAAAGTGAACATTAAGTACACACAATGGACATTTAGGGGAACCTGCCCTGCAAGCAGATTATCCAAGGGCTCTCTTTTGGGGTACCTGTTTGTTAGGTGTAATGTAACTTATTTTAGCCAATAAAAAAAAAAAAAAAAGTTTAGTTTTTATTGAAGCAGATACAACAAATAAATAGTCAAACGTGATACACAAAGTTTTAACTGTTGCGTTCTAAACTCTAGCAGAGGGAATGCCTCTGTAATCAGGCAGAACGATTATCGCAACAACTGTTTGACTGTAACTGTAATGACTTCATAAGATCACTCATTAAAATACGTATCACGCACCGTCTCTTTACATTACGGACCTTTTTTTTGTTTCGCTGGTATGGTATTTACTGTCTCCATGGGTTCCATATGAATGAGCATGTTTGCCATAACTATTGACATTATCATTCCTTGTTTTGATGAGGAAAACATACTCTCAATACTGCCCCTAAACACATATATTGTTATTTTTTTTTCTGATATAACACATCTAATATTGTCATTAGAGCTAAACTTCAATTCAGCTCAATTTCAGAGTCAATTTCCTCCATAATAAACAACATCTTTGCCATTCGAAAACTCTAAGGTGGTAGTAGTAGTCGAAGAGGAGTAGAGAAAAGTAGCATCCGTTCAACAAGAACAATAACGGAGAAGTTAGGCCTTTTACACAATACCTATTGCAAAAACAAGTATATTATTATACGAATGGTAAAATTACAAGGAAGTATACAGGTGATTCAAAGATAATGATTCCACTGCAACCCGCTTCTCACACAACCCAGACTTTTCTCACTTTGCAGACACAATTATGAAGCAGATCCAATTTTCATCTGTGGTTAACCGAGGGATCCTATTGCATTTCCCTGTCATTATTATTCAATCATTCTGGAGTGTTTTCTGATACATGCATTCTGACACTTAAATTAATAGCTTTTTGATACACATCTGGGTCTCTTCTCTGAACAACGCCGCAGTTTTTACAATAAGGGCACAGTTGGTTTGATTTCCATTTCTATGTGATTTGGAATGGAAAATGGAAAGTCTGATTCTGAAGTTTTGAGGCAGCTGTGTCAAACCTGAGGTGGATGATTCAAAGGACGATTACTCATCAGTTCGACCGGGCGTGTTGTCAAAGTTACTTTTTATAGTGCAGATGGGGACTTCGCTAGAGGCGGCCATGCTCAAAACTGCTATAATAATGTTGTTATTTAGGAAAGGCAAGTTAATTTGTTTAGCACAAGTCATGCACAAGGCAACTCAGAGTGCTATACAAAACAAGGAAGGAAGCTGGTAAAAGAAAAATGTAGTCGCAGTGCATTCAATTAGAATAATATATTGTAAAATGTCTAAATATGTGTAAAATATTTAGACATATTTCCTGCCATTATCTTAAACAAAAATAAACATAATTTGCAACAGAGTTAACAATTTCCATGGAGAATGTCTGATCTCATAAAAATCTTTTTGTATGCCAGTGCTCAGGTTAAGCACACTGTTTTTGTGTCCTGAGGCAAGGCATTTCTCCAATGTATCATACTGAAAATAATAGACATTTATGGACATTTATGGACATTTATCAACACTTACAGACATTGGTCATCATTTCTGTTTTAGTTCTTGTGTTTGAACCTATAATAGTATAGCGTGGTAAAGGTCTGGTACAAAGTCACATGGTCTGATTTTATGGAGACTGGCACGAAAATATCATGACATTGGTTGTTCTGCCAATTCATTTCTCTTACCCGCCTTAAATCTACTTAAATCACATTATGTTTCAGTACAAAAGGCCGACAAAGTTTGAAAAATGTACAATGAATTAGATTAAGGCTTTTTTTCTACATTTGAAATTTATACAGGATGAAAAATTCCCATTGTGTGGCATTTTGAGATATCTGTTTGTTGGTGTTGTCATACTGTTCTCAGCATTGTGGCACCAGAATAATGAGTTTTTGGATTTTGAAATAGCAATGTTTTCTCCATATTTGCCAAATCTGTCAGCCACACTTTGACTGAGAATGCAGAAAAGAGGAAAATGTTTTTTTTGGGTGCCATTTCAGCTCACCATGTGTCTCCAGTCAGTACAGACTAGTTCACCATATTTGTCTTACCGACTGAAGCTTCTACCAGCTACAGTTCCAGATGGAAGCTGAACGCAACATTAGGTAATCAAACCTGGAGGGACACCAGCGGGCTAGCTTCATGTTCGCTGTACAATGAAGTGACGGCTGTACACCACCCAAAATTTTTTAATTTGTTTACTTTAGAAAAATACATTGAAATTCATCCCAATGGTCATCTATAATATTTATTTTAAATGTATATGTATTTGGAACAGGACACCACATTTCTGTTGGTAGTTGATTATTTTGTGTGACTTGCCAACAGCAAGTTTAAACTACCTTCTCCTTCATTGCACAACATAATGGGATTTTTCAGACAAAACAACCAGGCAATTAAGAAAGACACGTTTACACTTCTTTATCAACTGGAATCGGCAAAGGTTCTCTTCAGTCTGTAACTGCCCTATGTGACTAGTGGACAAGTGATCGTCAAGTCTAAACCCTTCCAAATATACCAATTTAGATTATAATTAACACATTATAGATTTGAAATTTGAGATAAGACAGGTATAAACAAAACACAGACTTGTAAAACGCTCTAACGCCGATGAGTTCATACACGCAAGAAATATGGCACTGAGCTTGGAGCCGGATCAGTCAGTGTCAGGCTGATGCTGTTGACTGAGTCTTTGAGCCTCCTGCAGCTGTACATGAGTCTGTGCAGCACTGCAGGACAGGTGGGACACGCCCACATCCACACACATGTGGCTCGTGCTGCTCCACCGCGGGACCTCATCCTCAAGCCATCATTATAGTCCACATGCCGCTCATTTTATACTGTCCCCACAAGTGGGCTGTGTACATGGGGGTACAGGATGTTTTAACAAGTCTAAAAAGATAAGTGCAATAGTTTAAGGAGTTTAGATGATATGAAATAAGTGAAACCCGTTTTTGCTGTAGTCAATATCAAGATCAAATGTAGCACACTAGTGCAGTGCCTGTAAAGCACAGTATATTCGTATAGGAGCAGCTCCATGAGACTCAAAGTCATATCCTGTCTCATTACACTGACCTGAGACACATATTCATCTCAAATAACAAAACATGTGATTACCTAATGCAACTTAAGCATAAGTAAATATATCTTCCCACGCTTACCAAATCCACATCACTAGAATGTTCAACACATATAGCCGTTTCTTGCTTTTATGGATAGATACAAACTCTTAGAAGGTGATTTCTTTAATCATAGATGCCAAAAATATATTCCGTGTTGAAATGAAAATCTGAGCCATTTTGAAAAAAACATGGATGATTGTGTTTTCAATACTCTAACAAAATGAACACAGAGGAACTACTTCCAACTTTGTGCTTTGAGTGACTCGAGATTATTCGCTTTAACTTTCCATTAAAACCATGCTTTTCCTGTCACTTTATATTGCCTCAGATGCGAAGCTTTTCCAGTAAAGCAAAAACAAAATTGGTTTTCTAAAATTAAATCTTTCTGGGAATCATGGCAGTGATGATCAGACTTGCAGCCTCATGTGGGGTTGGCGGGTGAGGAATCAGTCTTCGTGCGTATGCAGTTGTTTGTGCTATAGGAAGATAATGGGCTGTGCGTTCTTTAATGGCGGGTTGAGTGCTTGTACACAGCTCGAGCATTCAGCCCGTCAATAGGCAAAGGTGAGCATTAGACACAACTGGTGCTTACAATACATTATGGCAGATTAGGATCGACCCTTTGGCTATGGAGCTTCACATTCCATTTAAACACAGCACGAGACGAGAAATGAAGTGTAAGATGCAATAAACCTGCTAAATGCGTCAAAGAAAGTGGCTATAAACTGGAAATAATGAAAAAAAGAAATGATATTTAAACCTGAGCAGTCCCATTCTATGATTATATTTCATACTGTACACATAATTCCATGAAGTATAGCGATACGACCAACGTTTAATGGAATACAGTTGAAGATAAATAGAAAAGCTAGCAGTAGTAGTATTAGTATACAGAAGTAGTAGTATAGGTTTAGCAAGAAGTAATGGTATTTCTGTTAAAGCTGACTTACTTTCTAACTGTAACTTAATTTTACAATATAGAGTTGTGCTACGTATACTTAATAATACATTTTCTTGTGTGCTCCTCTTTCCTGCTGTTCTGTAACTTGGTATTGTCACATTGGATTTTTTAGACATTAAAGTGATAAGAAGAGAACCACCCTCACTCAGTCAATGTGTGCAAAATGTGGTCTGACTTTTTTATCCTGGGACTCACAAGATGTATTATTCATAGAGAAAAGAAATGTGTACCCCACCGTTAATACAGTCAATACCATAAAGTTAATTAAATTGTCACCATCACCTCAGGAATGAAGTGCAACAGTTAAATTCTTCTTTCTCGTGTGGTCATGTCATGTTTTTGGACTTACCTCTTGTCGTCCCTGTACCACTCGAACTCGGGCTTGGGCACAGCATTGGCGTCACACTGCAGCATGCCCACTCGGCCCACCGGAGTCTCCGAGCTCTGGATCTTCTGTATTGTGGGAGGGTCTGTGGAGGAACATCGCACACGGATCAGACGTGGACTGGTTCAAAATGACACCTCGATTTCTGCTACCATCTTGCACCTGACGTGTAAAACAGCTCGTGTGCCTTTGAAGATCATGCTTTCTCAACATTGTGCCTCAAATATGGCTGGGGCTTAAAAGAAATCCACCCCTTTCATGTCGACCAGTGTTTTACCCCTACTTTTTTCTTGTAGACGAAAAGAAATTTTAACAAGGGAAGCGTATTGTTACATCAAACATTGAGAGTGCGATGAGTGGGAAGCAAATATGTTTCTGGAAAAAGAATAATGTTTTAATGTGAAAATTGTGATATTCTTAATGTTATTAGATGTAAAGTAATAATTATAGTCTGAAAAGGTCACAGCATACATCTCAAGCCATCATTAAGTCAAATGGATATTGGATTTGAAAGGGCATAGAACAGATGATTGCTAAATTAAAACTGGTGATAAAACATTGTGCTAGTATTGTTCTATGGGGCGGCAGTGGCCATTGGTATTGAATTTAATGGTTGTGGGTTCTATCCCCCCATGACCCATGTCTGCTCCCACAGATGTCGGCTGCCGTTGTGCCCTTGCGCAAGACACTTAATCCCGCGTTGAAACACTAAGTCTGTGCCTTTGTTGACGAAGCAGCTATATTCTTGCGGTCGGATTGCCACCCCCCCGACCCGGAAAATGGACTAATAAATGGGATGAAAATGGATAAACGAATTAACGTATTTTTCAGAAACAAAAGACATTTTTTAAAGTAGATAAGAAATAAACTGTAATTGGTCAATGCAATCACCAAACATATCTATTGCACATGCAGTATTCAAAATATATTCTCATTGGGTTTGAATAATGTAAAAGCCAGGACAGTATTTCACATAGGCTAATCCCCATACTGTTGAATTTAGAAATCTTTATCAGTTATAAAAAAGTAGCGGTTGAAGTCTTGTGGGATAAAGGCGGGGATATGGGCGAAAATCCGCGCTTCCATTCAAAGAGAATTTTACAAGTTCTCAAGAGGAGAGCGGATTTCTGAAGTACAGCTCCGCAACGCTCATCAAGTCATTCACAGACCCCTGGCAAGAAGCAAATTATGCCTTTCACTTTTAAACATCTAATTGTCTGCTGCGTCAGTGTGAAGTGTGTCGAATGTGATGGAAAGCTGTTCTGACAAGATTTCCAAAGATATTACACTCAAAAGGTAAAGACAGATTTGAAGGTGCAAGACTTTTGGGGCTGAGGTTTTAAAACTGACTTTAAACACTCACTAAATATGACGTGTATGTAGGTGTTCGGTCCAAGTCATCTCAGGATAATACATTCAGGGCCTGGGAGTACTGTTATGGGAGACCTCTTGGAATACCACGCTCTACAGTGGAAAGGCTGTGGGTGTAAGGTGCTAAACTGTTAGTAAGTAAACTGTGAGTAAGTAATATTTATTTATATAGCGCATTTTACAGACCAAGGTCACCCAAAGCGCTTTACAATGTTCAAGGGTCAGATATCTATCCATTCCGTTCTATATTTTTCCAAAGCCCCCAATCAACTCCATCCATTCATTCAGTCATTGCATTCATACCTATTGTACATGCTTTTAGTGGTAGGGGAAACGGGAGCACCTGGAAGAGACCCACGCAGACCCGGAAGGAACATGTGCAAACCCTACACTGAAAGGCCTGGAGGTGGAATTGAACCCAGGACCTCCTTGCCAGATTGCTGGCTCAGATGGTCAGTCGAATGTCGTAAATGTATTTATTTCTGTAAATTAACCAACCATGTAGTTATAATTTGGACAATTATGGCTCAAAGTCAAATGTTAAAATATTCAAATTTTCTCTGATGTTTTATTCTGGGTTTTTTTCAAGGCAATTTTCAACATTGTGACATATTAACCTTGATATACCTCTTTTTGCGTGAAGTGAATGGATTTTTTTTAAACAATATTCAAACTAGGGATGCACCGATCCGATACTGGTATCAATATAGGCGCCGATACCAGAAAAAATACTGGATCGGATATCTGTGTAAAGAGAGGCGCCGTGCTGCCGATCCATTTGTTTTCTTTTTTTTTTTTTTTATTATATATATTTTTTAATACATACCAGGTACCGCACAATGTCTTAAAATACATTGTGCATAATGTACATATACGTATAAAATGTATATGTATTAAAAGTAATTTATCAGATTGCACGTACACGTCACTTCCTCGTGGCGCTCTACAACAACAACAACACAGCATGGAGCAGGAAAGAATCAGCGTTGTTCACGCGGCGGTAAACTAGCGAAATACAACACGACTAAGCACCACGAGAAACAGCATGGGGAGTTTTTGCATCAAAAGGAGATTACGTGAAAACAACGAGACACAGATGACACTGACGCAGCGTCACAAAAAGCTTTTCAGCAACAACCCGAAAGTGTTGGAGTTCATCAGTTTGGGCTCGCAGCCGCATAGACCATTTGGAACCCAGGTACATGCCGTCGCCAAATACATATCTGAAATCCAGTTAAAGCTACGGTACTATTATTTATTTACATTTTCATGCAGCGTGTTTTGTTTGTTGTAAGTGTTTTTTTATTCAAACACAGTTAATATAAGTAATATTCAGTAAATGCATAAGGTATAATACAGTGTTGGAATGTTTAATGTGAACATTGAGCAGCTCTTTATAGTTGCATTATTGCACATTTATGTTGAATCCATTTTTATCTGGAACGTTTAGCGCTTTAGTTCATCCACTGCTTTTGCAGTTACTTGAACAAAGAGTTCAATTATTAAATACATTTTAGCATGATAATTTCCGGTATCGGTATCGGCAGAAACCCATATGGATCGGTGCATCTCTAATTCAAACGTTCCGCATTTCACCTGTAGTTTGCCATCATGGTGTAGGAAGTGAATGATTAAGTGAATCAATAAGAGAAGTCAGGACCAAGTTTTCTCTCTAGTCTCTGATCGTTCACTCCTCCCAATGACAGATTACGCCACTTTGTTCCTCTGTATGGAATTCATCTTTTAGGCTTCATAGTATAATTTCCAATAGCTTGCTTGCTGGTCTCCACTGTAGATGGGAGACCTTCTTTACACAGAAGAATGTAAGTAAGTAATCTTTATTAATTTTGCACTTTTTTTCAAACCAAGGTCACCCAAAACGCTCTACAATACTCAGAATGTGATGTCTCTAAATAGTCTGTGTTTTTCTTTTGTCAAAACACAACTCGTAAAATGAATTGACAGACTTATTATTTCCAAAACACTAACAAAAGAAAAAGAAAACAAAACCGCATTTGCATGACATTATGAACTACTGTTGGTTGCCATTAGTAGTAGAAACTGTGATACTAAGGCAAAACACTCCTGATGTGAGAATAGGAGGATTCAAATACAAAAATAATGAAAAATGTGGTGGCGGATGCATTTTCAATTACGTGCATTTTACACACATGAAACGGTATAGTGATTCTTAAACTGTTTATTCTATTGGTGGTGATGCATTTTGCGGGTTTGGGTCCGTGCAGCGTCATTACTCACAGTTGACCACAACATTGACATATTTGAAGTCGGGCGTGGCCACGTCGTTGCTGGCCTTGCACTCGTATCGACCCGCCTGGCTTCGCATGATGCCGATAATGTCAAGGAACTCCTCCCCGTCCAGTGGCTCTGCTGCAAGACAAAAAAAAAAAATAAGAGACAAATGATTAAATTCTGTAAATATATCTACTGTTTGACAACAACAATTTTGGAATGAAACTCATGTAAAAACAAATCAGATATTTTTTGAGTGACTCTGAAAGGGAATTAGAGTATTGGCCTGGTTCATTATACAGTAGCTGGATCAAGTCTTGGAGTAAAAATGCTTTACTCTTTAATATGTCAAAGATAAAAAGAAAAGAAAACAGCATAAAATACAGATACATGTAAGGGGGCGCTAGAGCGCACATGAGAGAGTAGACGTGCTGAGCAGGGCTCCCGTCCGATAAATCGAGTTTTAATGTAAAACGCACCTTTATCGCAAAGTAAGTGATTTAGCCTGGGTCGCTACTGCACGGCTCAGTGACTTATACTCAAAATGCCGCCAAAGAAGGGAGCGTGGCCGAAAAAACCGTCTGAAGAAGCTGTGGAGGACGAGCATGAGAGGCTAGTGGAGCTATCTGCTAGCGCAACAACAGACACCGCGATGGTGCTCGCAGCTATCCAGGAGATGAGCCGAAAAATGGACGACAGATTCAACTCTCTAGACGCTGCGATGAAAGCCTGTCAAGCCGTTCTAGATGAGCATGAGACGCGTCTCTCGGCGGTGGAGAACATGGCCACGGACCACGACGGTAGGCTGGATGCTGTGGAGCAGCTGGCTAAGCGGCTAGATGTTGCTAACAGGGCACTACAGGACAAAGTTATCGACCTAGAGGCACGCTCCAGACGCCAAAATATAAAGATAGTTGGTTTGGCTGAAAACGTGGAAGCAGGTCAAGCTGCTGACTTTGTTTCTAACTTGATGCCTGCTTTATTTGGTCGTGAACATTTCGTTAAACCTGTGGAAGTGGACCGTGCTCACAGGCTAGGTAGCCTGCGGGCTGGTGTGGCTGGCAAGCCCCGGGTTATGATTGCTAGGTTACATAGCTACTGCACCAAGGAGCGTATCATGCGGCTGGCAATGGAAAAATCTCCTTTGGTGTACCAGGGGCAGCGTATTCACATTTTCCCAGACATTCCACCTGAAATTTGGAAACGTCGTCAACTGTTCGAGGATACCAGAAAGAAGCTAAAGGCCGCAGGTCTTCGCACGGGCTACATCTTTCCCTCTCGTCTGCGGGTTACCAATGGCGGGGTCACATCCACGTTTGACACACCGGAGGAGGCGAAGCTCTATGCGGACAACCTAGTACCAAGAGTAGATTGCTGAAGAATGCTTTAGGACCGAGCTTAATCGGCCTTTTCCTCTTACTTTGTTTTTCTTTTTGACATTTTGAGGCCAAAGGAGAAAGGACACTTCTCAGGTACAAAGGGAAGTATTTACGAATGCCCTTTGAGCACTGGGGTATCTCTATTGAACGAACGCTCACTATCACATATGTTAGGTTCTGTTATTCCATTCTTTGTGAGTTTAATGTTCTTTCATCTGACCCAATGACTAATTCAAACGGTAAATTGTGGTAAGGGGGCTTTTTATTTTTTAATATTTTTAAGTTTTATCGGCGGGATGCAGGCTGGGCCTGGCGACTAATAGTGTTAACAGCTTGGTTAGTTTATATAGCTGAGTATTGTTTGAACCCCCGGAAGGAGTATGGTAGGCAGGGCTTTATACCTACTTTGTTTGGGAAAGTGGGTAAGGGGGGAAGGGGGTGTTGTGTACGTGTTCTGTACATTTCTGTTTTTGTGTGTGTGTGTGATTTTTAATGGGGTAATGTTTGTGTCCACAATCCAGAGAATGTTTTATTCATTGTTTCATCCTGACGAGACTTAATAAGACCGGTGGGGTAACTATGGTTAGTTGGAATGTGAGGGGTATGGGTAGCAATATTAAACGAGGTATAGTGCTCAAACATTTGAAATCTCTGCACTCTGATATATCTTTTTTGCAGGAAACTCATATCAAACCATCTGAACAAGGCCGTTTAAGGTGTAACTGGGCAGGTCAGATATTTCAGTCAACATTCTCAAGCAAAGCACGTGGAGTAGCAATAATAATAAAAAAGAATATACCTTTTGAACATTTGAACACAATAAGTGATGTTAATGGTAGATTTCTAATAGTAGTAGGTAAGTTGTACTCTGCACATGTTACATTGGTCAATATCTATGGCCCAAATATTGATGACCCGGGTTTCTTTCGTAAAACTTTTGACAAATTACCTGATCTTGCAAGTACTAATCTGATTATGGCTGGAGACTACAATGTGGTGTTAGACTGGCACTTGGATAGATCTTCTAGAAAACAATCCGCTCCATCTAAGGCAGCAGTAATTCTTAATACCCTTGTTTCATCGACAAACTTAGTAGATATCTGGCGTTTACAGAACCCAACTGGTAGGGACTACTCTTATTATTCTAAACTGCACAATTCTTACTCTCGAATTGATTTTTTTCTGCTAGATTCGAAGCTCCTTCCTAATGTTATTGACAGTCAATATCATAACATTTTGATTTCTGATCATGCCCCTGCAAGTGTTACTCTAGATTTTAACCAGCTGAAACAGGATTATGTTTGGAAACTGCATCCTTATTTGCTGAATGACGCAGACTTTTGTAAATATATATCAGATAAATTAGAGGATTTTTTGCTCACTAATGACACTTCAGATACATCAGATTCAATTTTGTGGGAAACATTTAAGGTGGTTATGAGAGGGCATATAATATCATACCAATCAAGGCAGAGGAGATTAAAGACTTTGCGATTGGGTGAAATTGATAATAGGCTGGCTGCACTGGAAACGCTCTATCGGCAGAACAACAATGACACTACTTTACAAGAAATTCTTAATCTTAAATATGAATACAATACAATTTTGACGAAACAAGTGAGTGATCAACTGTCCCGGCTTAGGTTACGGTATTTTGAAATGGGGGACAAGCCACACACTCTGTTGGCTCGTCAACTCAGAGGCCAACAGAATAGTAGGGCAATACACAGAATTAAATCTCGTTCTGGGGATGTCACCACTCTGCCTAAAACAATAAATAAATGCCTTTCAGACTTTTATCGAGAGCTGTATAAATCAAAAGCAAATGGGGATGTCGATGCATGGCTTAATGATGTCACCATTCCAAAACTAGACAATGCCGCACGTGAGGCCCTGAATGCTCCAATATCTGCAAAAGAAATAATAGACTCAATTGGCTCTTTAACCAATGGGAAAGCGCCTGGGCCGGATGGCTTTGGGGCAGAATTCTACAAAAAATTTGCCAGACAGGTATCCCCACTCCTCCTCCGAATGCTTTCTCACTCCATGGATACAAAGTCTCTCCCATCCACATTGTATAATGCTAATATCGCCCTTTTGCTGAAACCAGACAGAGATGACACTGATCCAGCATCATATCGTCCTATATCTATGCTTAATCTGGACTTTAAAATTTTCACTAAAATACTTTCAAAAAGATTGAGTAACTGCATTGAATCAATTATTCATAAGGATCAGTCGGGTTTTATCCCTAACAGATATTCATTTTTCAATACAAGGAGAGTGTTAGACATCACATATTTCAATTATCCTAGTCATTCTAAACAAGCTGTTATATACTTAGACGCTGAAAAGGCGTTCGACCAAGTTGAGTGGGGATATCTGTTAAAAGTCCTGGGGAGATTTGGACTGGGTGAATTATTTATTTCTTGGGTTGAATTGGCATATCTTAAGCCTACTGCGTGTGTGATTACAAATCAAGAAAGATCAAAGCCTATACTCCTGGAAAGAGGTACCCGCCAGGGATGCCCTCTTTCACCACTATTGTTTGCTCTAGCCATCGAGCCATTAGCAATAGGTATCAGAGAGAACCCGTTGATTAAACCCATTAAGATAGGCGGAGTTGATCATAAGATATCTCTGTATGCTGATGATGTGGCCATTTTTGTTTCAGACCCAGAGCAGTCGGTATCACATTTATTGAATTTAATAAATGCTTTTGGAAAGGTCTCGGGATATACTGTTAACTGGCAGAAGAGTGACTTGATGGCGCTTTCATGTGACTTGCATCCAACGTTTGTAGCCTCTACGCAGTTTAAATTATCACAGGTGGTCAAATACCTCGGCATAAAAATCCCTAAAAATCCCAAGTCTATTTTCAAAATCAATTTCAATGAGCGATTAAATGCTCTTAGGCAGAATATAGAAAAGTGGAGGACACTTCCTTTATCCATGATAGGTCGTATAAACACAATTAAAATGGTGTCTTTACCAAGATTTCTTTATTTGTTTCAGAACATCCCTGTCTTCATCCCTAAGTCGTACTTTAAACTAATTGACAGTACTATTTTGCCATTTATCTGGGGTTATAACAAAAACAGACTTGGCAGTCTGGTTAAAGTGGCTAGTAAGGTGTCAGGGAGACCACAGGCTCAGCCCAAAGACCTGTACAGTAAGCAGGTGCTGAGGAAGGCCAATTCTATCATTGGTTCTTTGGACCACCCCCTGAGGGAGCAGTTTGAACTTTTACCCTCAGGACGACGCTATAGGGCTCTTGGGTGTAGGACAAAACGGTTGGGAACTACATTTATCCCAACAGCTGTGAAGCACCTTAACAGCACATAGCACTTTTACAAACCTTTGCGCTGAAATTTTGTTTTTGTGACATTCTCTTTTGTTCTTGTTTTCTCAATGTTGTGATTTTACTGTATCTGCCTGTTTTTTTTAGATGATTTATGCTGCAAAACCAATTTCCCCTAGTGGGACAATAAAGACAACTTGACTTGACTTGACTTGATAAGGCACACAGAATAAACAAACTGCACCTCCAGAAACCAAAAGAGAGTGGTGGTCTTGGATTACCCTGTTTTCAACATTATTATTGGGCAGCTAATGTGAGGGTGATGGTATACTGGCAATTGGAGCCAGGGGAATTGGACGAAATTCCTTCATGGCTAACTATTGAACATAGTCTGGCTTCAAAAACGTCCTTAAAAGCAATCCTACATTCATCCCCTAGACCATGGCCTTCTCGTAAAG